CAATCTGATATAGGCTTTACAGTTACATTCCTATTAAGCATATTTTCACATTAGTGAAGTTGTGAGTAAAAATTAAAACCAATAGGAGGAACCATTCCTCTTTTATTTTCTACCAAAGGAAGAACACAAGGGCTTTGGAGTTAGAGGATCTGGATTTCAACCTTGACTCTGTTACTTAACTATTTGTGTTACCCTGAGTACCACTAGACTTCTCCGAACTTTTGTTCTTTATTTGAAAAATTGTGCGAGGGTGGGGGGAGTTTGGATTAAATGGCCTCTCTGGTTCTTTCTAGTAAGAAAGCTATGATCCGACCTATCTTACTTGGGGCAAGTAATTTACTACTTTGAGCCTCAGTTTCCCCATTCATTAAAAAAAGGGGGAGCTGGACTATATGACCTCTAGTGATTCTTCCAACTCTAAGTCTGTGATCCATATATAACTTTCTTTGTACCGTGCCATGCAATTTACTGTCCATAGTCCCCTCTTTCAGCTCTGAAACTAACTAGCTGTTTGACCTTGGACAAGTGCTTTACTTCCCTGGGTATCAGTTTCCTTATCTGTAAAATTAGGATGTTGACTTAGACTGCCTCTTCTCCCATTACGAGTTCTTATGACTATGATTCTTGGAAAAGAAGGGGGATAATTTGCTGCTTTATGTTACCCTGATTCCCTTTCCAGTTTTCAGCCAATGCAGAGTTAAATGAATATGATTGTAGTAGATGTACCTGGATTTACCAGCAAAATCCCTAGAGGGCAAAAGAGGTTTTTAAGAAGTGAACATTACACTGAATCTCACTGGAGGCATGTAAACTGCTAGTGCATATGGGACAGTTTTCTGTTTATTTTTGCTATTTAACTCATTATTTTTGTTTTCATTTCCTTTGCTCCTAAAATAAAATCTTGATCCTATACCTTTCTACTAAAACTCTAAATGTAGTTTTTGGTTCAAGGATCCTTCGGGGCATTGTACGTGAGGCACTAAATAGAATTGTTCGGAGTATCTTATCAAGACTTTTTATCTTCATGACCACTGGGAATGGTGGTGGCCCTTAAAATGGAATGCCATGTTCAGAGAACAAGGTACTACCCATTAAATGACATGGAACTCAAGTCAGCGTCACCACAGCAGCCCTAGACCTGCTTTGTACAAAACTGGAGCTTCTTTCTATAAGAAACTTGCACAGGCACTTAGCAAACATGGATTGGGTAAGCCCACTGAATTGAATACAAGAAAGAAGGAGACACACACTTTGCCCTCATGTACCTGATAATCTAGTTGTCAAGATGAGATATACAAACATGAAATTATAAGTAACAAAGCAAGGCAAGCGATAAAATTGTCAAATGACAACAGCAAACAATGAGGGCTATGGGAATAAGAAGCAATGGATGTCAGCGTGGAAGGAGGTCTTTAGGGGAGTGCCATAGAGATTTATCCTTGGCTCCATGCTCTTCAACATTTCTAACAATGATCTCAAAGAAAGTAAAGATGAAATGTTTATCAAATTTTCAGATCCCCCAAAGTTGAGGAGGGTATTTTACTTGACTTATTGACTTGATATTTACCACATTAGATGATGAGATCAGGATCCAAAAAGTTCTAGACAGACTAGAAGGATAGGTCTGATATAATGAGGTAAAATGTATTAGTGATAAGAATAGAGCCCTATCATTGGACCTACAAAATTCAATTAAAACATAAGGGAAATGCCCCTAGACAACAATTTGCGTCAAATCAATTGTGTGTGTGTGTGTTTTTGTTTTAGTGGACTATACTCCTAATAGCATGATACTGAAGGTAAAAAACAAAACAACCACACCAACACCAACAGCACCAAAATCTGAATGCAGGGTTAGGCTGCATTAAGGTAGGCAGGAAGTCCACAGTGAGAGTGGTAATTGTCCCCCTTTACTTGGCTCTAGTCAGACCTCCTCTGGAAGATGGTGCTCACTTCTGGATGCCGCATTTTAGGAAGGACTTGGACAACTGGAACATGCTCAGAGAAGGTCAACCAAGATGATGAAAAGGCCAAAATCCCTGCTATACAAAATTTGATTAAAGGAGCAGGAGATGCCTAAATGCTTACTCTCCAAAAGAGAATTGGAGTGATGGGGTAGAGCCTTACAAATGTCTTTAAGCATTTGAAAGTCTGTCATGCAAAAGAGGAATTGGATTTGTTTTGCTTGGACTCAGATGACAAAAGAAGATGACAGTGGTAGAAGTTGTGAAGAGGCAGATTTCATTTTAAGAGAAGAAAAATATCCTGAAAATGGTTGGTAACCTAATGACTTGATGTCTACTTGACAGCGTTTCCTTAATGGAGTGCCCCAGAGCTTGATTGTATGCTGATGAACACTATTTATCAATGGGATCTGCCTGCTTGTCAGAAGACTACTCAGAATTCCATGAGAACCTATGGCCTGAGACTAGATCTGGGACAGACTACTCAGATTCCCTTAATATTGAATTAGACATCTTCAGGGAGGTAATAGGATGGCAAGGAAGTAATAGTAACTATGATGATGACAACAATGACGGCAACCATGATGATGATGATGATGTTAGCTAAATTTACAAAGCACCTATTATGTGCCTGGCACTGTTTTGAGTGCTTTATAAATATAACCTCATTTGATTCTCACAACAACCCTAGAAGGTAGATGCTATTATTATCCACATTTTATATATGAAAAAATTGAGATAGAGAGTAAATGACTTGCCCAAAGTCACACAACTATGTAAGTGTCTGAGGCTAGATTTGAACTAATATCTACCTGACCCCCAACCCTGTGCTCTGTTCATTGAGGTACCTCGATACTTTATTGTACAGAGAAGTATATCTTAGTCCAAGACTTTTATTAAAATGTTTTGGAGTAAAAAGCCCAGAAAGATCGGCATGATTTGCAAACAAGCAAATATGTAAAGATGGCAGACTATAGAGCCCATGGGACACAAAAAACTCAATCTATAATGCTCTTCTTCCCTTCCCTGTCCATGATGACATCAATAAAGACATAGATAACATATTTATCAAGTGTTCAGATAACACAAAGAAGGCACAGTTAGCTAATACACTGGCTGTCAGTCCAAGAAGCCAAAATGATTTTGAAAGGCTACAGAATGGGACTAATTGTAATAAGATCCAATTCAGTAGGAACAAATGTGAAGTCTGATACTTGGGTTCAAAAAATCAACTTCACATGTACAAGGCAAATGAGGTCATTTTTCTTAAATAGATCTGAAGGTTTTGGAGCACTACAAGCTCTCTATGACTTAATGCCGTAATGTAACAGCCAGAACTGAATGCAAAATTAGTCTAAGTAAAGAAAAAACACTAGGGTTAAGAGGGATTAAGAAGTCTTCTGACTCTAGGTTCAGTACTCTCTCTTCTACACCATGTAGCCTCTGGGTGTGCCTGAAGTATTCAGAGGACAATGAACTGTTTAGGGAATGGGGGAAGACAAGGCAGGATACAGAGGTACAAAGCAGATTGTGGAGGGCCTCTACGGCCAGGCTAAACTGCAACATTTGAATATTCAGCACCATTCTCACTTATCATTTCTAATATACATATACATATATGTGTGTGTGTGTGTGTGTGTGTATACATATATATATATATATATACATATATATATATATATCTTTAGCTATTCTTTGCGATTTCTAGCACTTACTCTATGTCTTAAGATTCTCTTTGGTAAATAAATAAAGGGAAGTGCAGGTTTGTGAAAATGAAAGTGCTAGGAATTTTGAGCTCTTGTTTCCATAGAGGGAACTCCAAATCTCTGTTATTTTCTACGATCATAAAGGAACTTCTGTTTTGACTTTTTGTTTTGTCATCTATATTCTTCAGAAACCCCCCTCTCCATCCTCAACACCATGATCCATTGCTGTTGTTATTGTTCAGTTGGTGTTTGGTTATGTCCAACTCTTGTGACCCAATTTGGGATTTTCTTGTCAAAGATACTGGAAGGGTTTGCAATTTCCTTCTCTAGCTCATTTTACAGATGTGGCAACTGAGGGAAATAGAGCTAAATGACTTGCCCAGGGCACAGCTAGTCAGTTTCTGAGGTCAGATTTAAACTTACAGAGATGAGTCTTACTGATTCCAGGTCCAGTGTTTTATTCACTCTGCCAGTTCTAGTGGCATAAAAGTGAAAGAGCAATGAGTTTTGAAAGTTTTAAAAAGTTTTATTTATTTATATAGGGGAAAAATGTATATTATTTATTGTATTTTCATTTATTTTGTTAAATATTTTCCAATTATATTTTCATCTGGTTCCTACTGCATTTGGGAGTATTATGAGCCAACTGTAATGGGCCAGTGTGTGTGACATCTCTAGTCTTCCCTACCTACTCCTTGTGAGTAGAGATTGGTTCATTCATTGTATTTATATTCCAAGTGTCTACAGCAATACCTGGCACATAGTAGGCACTTCACAAAACTGGTTGATTGATTGTTCCTCTCTTTTGTTTCCAATCTTGAACATGCTCATAAAGATATATATACACATATACACATGTGCTATAATTCACATAGTAACAGAGACCTACAAAAATACTCCCAAACCACCTACTTTTGTGCTTATACTCATATGCAATTCAAAACAGCATATATTCTGATATACCCAAAGATAACATTATGCATGCACAAACACATACATGCCCATTAATGCAAACATATGAGTGTGTACTCATGCCATACATTCTTATGTGTGGAAACTATTTTAGAAATATCTCAACCTATTTAGCATTGTTATGTACCATTTAGTGGCCCCTGTTTCTATTTGAGTTTGACACTGCTCAGGAAAACCACACACACACACACACACACACACACACACACACACACACACACACATACACACACATGAAAGGGTATATGGAAAATTATAAGAAAAATAAATACAAGTCAACACCAAGTAGTTAAATACAAGGAAGTTTAGAAAAGAGGGGCAGGGAATATGCAGCATGTATGACAGAGAGGTTGAGAGAGAGAATGGGGGTCATACAAGACCAATTTAATAATGATCCACTTTAAAGGGTCAGACTGACAGGATGTGAGAGTTCAGTTCTCATATGATTGGATTCCACTCAGGAAAGTAACACAACCAGAACCCACCTTCACAGGCTCCCCCTTTACAAGGCTGATTGAAACATGGTCACTGGTGTAAATGAAAAGTTTGGAGCCTTTTCAGTCTCTGCGGCAGTGCTGGCACAAAATTCTCCAGTCAGATCTGCAAAAAGAGTGTTTGCATTTGTGCGCATTGTTTGTATGTATGTGTGTGTGTGTGTGTGTGTGTGTGTGTGTGTGTGTGTGTTTTCTTTCAAAGCTAGCAGCGAAAGGCCAAGCAAAGCCCTACAAGGCAACATAAATGATTTAAGACCCAACGATTCTGCCAGGGAAACGTTAAGGACGGAGTCTAATCCTTTAATCTAACCCCAGTTCCTTTAAAAGCTTTAAGCTAGGAGTTGACTCAGCATGTCAGTGCCAAGAAGATCCATTGACCCTGAGTTCAGTGCTGAGAAATTGAGAAATGTTCTTTTTAATGTCTATTCAATAAATACAGCATCTACCTTGCGATGGGCTGAGCAATCCACTTCAAATCCATTACAGGATGTTCTCTCGGACTGACAAGTTGTCCTGAGACAATAGTGGCCATGAGATGAGGTTAACCCTTCCTGTGGTGTATAAATCTTCACTGCAGCCAGCCTCTGGCTCTCAGAAGTCCTTGGAAAACAGGAGATATTTGAATTGATGAGAAATCACAGAGATGTTCATTTCCTTCCCATGCCAAGGTAAGATACACAGGTACACAATACACAGACATACACACACACACACACGTACATACCTACACATATACACACACAGAGTTTCCTGATACTGAACAGCACAGCATATTTGAGAAGAACAATTCTTAAACTGTCTATAAAACCCCAGCTGATAGAGATGCATCTCCTCTCTCAACTCATTGGGAATGGGCTGCCCCAAACTTCTGTACATTTAATTACTTTTCAACCTGTGGCAGACTGCCAATGTTGGTCAATGTGACCTAGAAACTTCTAAACAGAAGGACTGGTATGAAGTCAAGGCCAAGCCTAAGACCTAATGTTCTCTTCTATTTAGTATAATAATGACATTAGCTTTTATGGCACCATTTTCCCTAAGTCCTCAAAGACCCATGTAGTGGCGGTGAACAAATTATCATTGAATGAATATACATTTATATGTATGTGTGTATACATATATGTATATATGTGCATATATGTACATATGCATACATATGTATACCCACCCACATAAATACATATATGTATATATGTGTATATATGTGCATATGCATACATATGCCCACACACACACACACACACGCACACACACATATATATATATATATATATATATACACATATACAGAGAGAGAGAGAGAGAGAGAGAGAGAGAGAGAGAGAGAGAGAGGAGCAATGGAATTCCCTACCTATTCCATTGAAAAGCAATGGAATTCCATATTGATAGATGAGTACACATATAGATCTATCTATCCATCTATCTATCTATCTATCTATCTATCTATCTATTCAATTCCATTGCCTCACCTTAGGCATGCTTCTATTGTTTCCTGATTAATCATTGCTGGGGTTTACCCTACTCAGTGACTCTGCCCATATGGCTTAAAAATAGATGTTTGCAGTCAAGAATGCAGACACAATTTTAGACTATTTAAGAGAAGCCTGTAGAAACATTCCCAAAGAATGTGATGTGTGTTATGGGCATGTGATTTGATTCTCTTCTTTTTTTTGGGCAGGGACCAGCAACAAACCACAATGGACTCTGTATATGGCAGATTTATGCCTCCTGGGAGGCCAAAGTACCTTCAACGTACAGATTTTCCCCATTGAGAAATGTGGCCTCTAGTGATGGGGAGAAGGCATAGACAGCCAGGGAGCACCATGGCAATATCACTGGGATAATAATAATAACAATAATGCTATTAATAATTTAATTCACCTCTAAATAGAATGCCTTATCATTACAAAGCAATTTATCTACATCATTTGTTTAGGCACAAGTCATACTAGATTGCCAATGATATCCCTTCCAACCAAGATTCTGGGATTCTGTGGTCCACATACAACCTGTATAGTATGTGGTTAAAGTGTTATTACTCCCCTCCCTTTCATAGAAAAGGACATTGAGGCTCATAGAAGTATTTTGCTCAGTCACACAATTCCTAAGTGGCAGAGCTAGAATTCAAACCCAAAGTCAACAGACTCTGAATCTGCTTTCCCTTGACTTGCTCCCCCTTCTATTTCACCCCTCCATCTGTTTGGGCCAGTGTTGGTACAGTGTCAGTACAGCTCCCAAATGGAGCTTGTTTGGCTATATGCAGGGAAAAGAATGATTTTGGCCCCCTCTATTATGGCCTTCATCTAAATAATCATTATTTGTGCTGGAACTTATTCACTTTTGATGATTCTCTCTTTTGTAAAAGGAATTGTTGGCTTTAATTTTCTCATTCACTATCATGCAGTGAGAGATGCAGAGGTTGATTAAATTCAGCTCCCAGAGAGGGAATGCAATTTGTCCAAGGTCACACAGCAAGTCAATGAAAATGCCACAAAAGAAAAATCCACTTCTGATTCTTAGTGCAGGACCCTGTACCTTAGACCACATTTCTACTTAGGAAGTCTGAAGCTATGTTGATTTGATACCAAAAGATCTGGACACAAAGTGAAAAATTCACTCAACTACCTAGATGTATTGTCTACAGCGGGGCTAATGTTTGGTGCTTTCAAATATCTGAATGTTTGGGATAATATCTGTTGACAGCCTAGGGATATGTAGAGCAAGCTCTTTTGTTAAAAGAACTCAAAGGCAGAGATTTAGAGAGCTGGCCATGGATTGCCTTCTGTTCTAAGAGGGAACTCTTTGTATTAAAGTCCTAGCAAGCTTTCCCTGGTTAGTGAGATTTCAGGATATTTCCCCTGATGGCCCTGCCTATTATAGATTGTTTGACAACCTGGTGTAAGAGGCTGGGCAGGCCTCTACGGGGCTAGCTTTCTTTCTGTATTGGACTCCAGCCTGAGCATTGACATTCCAAAATTGATACTCCACCACCACAAGTGACTGTAACAATCTTTATTTTATCTGTGGCTTTTGCTCTGAGGCTTTGGTTTAGCCCCCACAGGGTTACCATGATAATCAACACCTCTAATTAGCACTTAGAAATGTCTGGCTCCCAAGGCTGTTATTAGAAGACAGGCTTGGTGTGCAAGATAATATTGGAGCCTTTGCATTTTTGGAGCAAAATCCTCCTCCTGGGGCTATGTCATGGATCCTGCTTCCAACATGGGTTTGGCTGGTGGGGGGCCTCTCCTCCTCCCCTCTTCCTCCCTATACTCCCCCCACCCCCAGCTTATTGAAGGAGAGCTGAATTCAGGAGATGAGGCTTTCCTGGGCTTTGGGGGAAGTTGGAAATTGACTATTTATCTTAATTCCCTCTTTCCAGTGCTTTCAGATGCAGGATCCCACCTTTGGGCTCTGATGCTCAAGACTAAGCTATGCATGGTGACCTGGTAGAAAAAAGGAAACAACAGGTCATTCTCACCCCATATAGTGCTCAAATTTTCTTTTAATAAATGAGATGACAGCAGTGGATAGGCACTGGACCATCTGCACAGCTATTCAGAGCATGAGACCTGAAGGTAGGAAGAACTGAGTTCAGATTCTACATGAGACACTTACTAGCTGTGTGACCCTGGAGAAGTCACTTCACCTCTGTTTGCCTTGGTTTCCTCATCTGTAAAATGGGGATAACAATGGCACCTATCTCCCTGGGTTATTATAAGGATAGAATGAGATAAAATTTATAACATACTTAGAACAGTGCCTGGCAAAGTGTAGGCACTATATAAATGCTAGTGATGATGATGATGATGATGATGATGATGATGATGATGATGATGATATGAGAAGTATTAGAAGGAGCACTCCAAAGGGCTTTTATGTGGTCAATAAAAGGCTCTGTGAGCTTGGGTGCTATGGGTCCTCCTGAGCAGGCTAATGGCTTATGAATGAATGAACAAATGAATGAATGAAGCATTTATTAAGTGCTTACTATGTGCAAAGCACTGTCCTTATTCTCCTTGAACCCATAGAAATTAAATATAAACTAGCACCGATCACAATTTATTGCTATCATTGTTCCTTTTGCGGTTATTAATATCACCACAACTCTTGGGCAATGAGAATGTATTACTTTGCCCAGGCCTGGCCTCTGTCAATACCCCACACTTCTTCCTCAGGGCATTCTCTCCTGGTAAAGGAAAAATTTGGCACCTGATTATTGTGTCTCAGGTCCAGCCTCCTGAGGTCCCCTTTAGGGCAAGTATGTCTCTGGAGGATGAGGGCAAATGCAAGAGCCAGGTAAGAAGGTAGGAGCAGCACAGGAGGCAAGTTCTACAAGATGAGGGCCTCTTTTCTCTAGCCACACCCAGGTTCCCGCGGGCAGAAGAGTAGCATAGCTAGCATGGGAGTGACAACAGTGAGCCAGCTTGGGGAAAAATTGTGATTAAGGTGAAGGAAAGGGCATGGGATACTGTGAAAAAGAACATGTCCTAGGAGTCATGATCCCTGGGTTCTAGTCCTCATTCAGGCACAGACCAGCTGAGTGACCATAGGCAAATCATATAACTGCACTAGACCTTAGTTGTCTTGTATAAAATAAGGATGATAATTATACTAGAGGTACAATGATATAATGGAAACTGGCTTGGAATTGGAATGAGAACACAGGAGATCAAATGCCAACTCTGTCTAGGATCAGGTCACTTGACCACTTTGGTTAAGTTTCCTCTTCTGTAAAATGAGGGGGTTGGATTAGGTAACCTCTAAGGTCCTTCACAGTTTGAAATTCATAATTCTGTAATGTTATCTAAAGCCAGGGTACTTTAGACTGGAATGGTTAAACATGCCACCAACACTCCCAAGTACAGCTGACCAGATAAAAATGACATTAGAAATATTGAACAAAATAAATAGAATACAGTAGAACATAGATAATGTCAATATGTGGTTTTTGAAGTCAATACACACCCATAGGGATCCTTATGTAAAGTTTGGTGGCTCCTCTCCACAATGTCACTCTCTTTTAGTTCATTTAATTCAACATATTATTAGTACCTTTTGCACAACAGGCAGGGTGATAGGTGCAAAGTACAAAGACAAGATGAAATGGCCCTTGTCTTAAAGAAACTTACATGTGCACATAGACGAAAAACACAAAGTAATTTTTAGGTGGAAAACTCTAGTTTAATATGGAAGGCAGCTTGTTAACAACAGAATACAGATTCCAGTGGACATAATGGAAGTATAGGATAAGGGGATAGGGGCACCGAAGAACTGGAACTGAAATAAAATATTGGTGGGAAGGACATTTGTTATATGGGCATCTTACTTGATCTCTTTATGGTGAGTATTAGGGAAAGGGAGGTAGAATTCATGAAGGGCCTCACATATAACTGTCACTTTTCTTTGCTTCCCATATAAGAGTGCGGGTGACTCTACAGTTCATTCCTCCTGCCCAGAGACACCTAGATATCCCCCAAATGCTCCTGCTACAGCCAGCTTCCTACTGGCTAAAGAAACTAGATAATTTTGACCTCACGTGTGTCAAAATTTTCTGTGCCTTGGGTGTGGATCAGAAAAGAGGTGAAGAGGGTGGATTTGGGGATGTTTGCCTTTCATTGAGGAAGCAATGTGTAAGAAGAAGGGAATTTTTTCCCCCATGGAAGGATTCACTCTTGCTTCAGTGCTTGATTTGTCTGTGTGACCAGGATGAATGCTGTTCGGTCTATTTACTCGATATTTACCCAAGTCTGCAATCAACAAGAAAATACATCTCAGCATC